CATTCATTCTCTGAGTACACAATAATATCATCTACATAGACATGACATGTTTTTCCTATTTTGGATCTCAAAACGTCGTCTATTGTTCTTTGGAAAATGCTTGGTGCATTTTTGAGCCCAAATGGCATACGACAAAATTCGTATTTCCCGTTATTTATGCTAAATGCGGTTTTTTTTCTATCTCTTTCATGAAGTAATATTTGATGAAATCCCGCTTTTCGGTCCAGTGTTGTGAAAAACTTTGCTTTACCCAAGTTGGAAAGAATCACCGATGTGTCTGGAATCGGATACTTGTCGCTTACGGTAATGCTATTCAATTTCCTAAAATCGACAACCAATCTTTTTTTCTTTTGCCCATTTTCATCGATTCCTTTTTTATCCACCACCCAAACAGGGTTGTTGTAAGCTGACTTGGACGGTCGTATTATTCCATCCTCTAAAAGATTCCTAATTTCTTTATTCACAAATTCGTTAACCGCCATTGGGTAAGGGTAGCTCTTGCTATAGACTGGTTCGTCATTTGTTGTACCAGTGGTTGCTACAACATTAGTGTTATATGACAACTTAACATCTGGACTCGCGAACACTTCTTTTAGCTCTTCTATAATTTCATAAAATCTCGCCTTTACGTATGAAGGCAAAGAGTGAGGCAATTCCAACTGATTGACCTCAGCACAGCTTTTGAATTTAAGTAGTTCTGTTCCATTATTAAATATAATCATTTCTTTTTTTGTATCTATTACCGCACCTATCTGTTTCATGAAATCGTAACCTATTATCCCTTCGAATGATTCTAGTTCAGGCAATATATAAAAATGCGAAAACTCGTTAAACAAGTTCACTAGACACTTTTGATCTATGATCAGTTTACTATTTACGGTCTTTACAGTGAACGGGTTTTCGAGTCCCGCAACCCCCTTTAAAAATGGTAATTTCTTAATATAATTTTTAGCACTGCCAGTATCTAAGAGAAATCTCAACATCCTACCGTTCATATGTTTCTCAATATATGGCAGTTGCGACGCTAATCTAAAAAAATTGCAGTTATCTGCTTCTATATGGTTCAAGGCCTGTCGTCTAGCTATCGGTTGTTGGGCACCCTCTGTCGGTATTTGTGCTTCAGTATTGGACACATCAGCCCTGTTCCTATTAAACGGATTTTTTTCCACTGTATGGTTATACCCATCTGCCCTGCTTCTGCCAAATGGCTTTCTTTCCACTGCGGTGTTGGTATTAGATCTGCTAAAAGGATTATTGGGTTTGTTACCGAAACCAAGACCCCTGTTTGTATTTGCCCTATATCTCGAGGTGCTGGGATCTACGTCCATAGGTATTGGGCGTTCACTTGCACCTGCAGTTTGTCGTAAGTTACTCGCTGCTGCTTGATAATTTGTAGTAAAATTCCTGCTTGGCCTGTAATCTAAGCTGTGAAAAGCATTTGCAAACGCGAATCGGTTTTGATTCGATACCAATTCCTGCGCCAGTGCCAGTGCACTTGGCAAGTTGTCCGGCTTAGCAGAAAACAGTATGTCGCACAAGGGTTTATTCAAACCCGATATGAATACTCGAAGTGCGTCTGCCCTGTATTTCGAATTCAGGGAATCTATTAAGCCTGAATTGCCATCATGTGACATCGCTACCTTGTTTATTATAAGGGTGAGCTTACTTTCGACTACTTCGTAGAAACTCTCGACTGTTAGTCTACCCTGCTTTAGGGTAGACAAATCTTGTTCTACAAGATATATCNTGGCATCCGCGCGACCCGTAATTTTATTTCTTATTATGGCTGTTGCTTGGTAGTGCTTTGAACTACCTTCATAAGGTTCGAACAATTTATAGGCGGCGTGGGCTGCATGCCGCCAGGAAACGTACTTAGTTTCATCCCCGTTGAATTCGGGCAATGTCTTTACTATATCCAGAGGCTCATCGCAGGTTATTCCAGGCCTTATTTCTACCTGATGGTACTCCCTAACCTGTCGCGGAGTTTCGATTTTGTCTAATCTTTCTGTCAAAGTGTTCAGACGTCCCTGCAAAGTCTCTGTCACTTTATTTGCAAAAACCTCGAATAATTCTCTAATCTGATCTTCATTCATTTTGATCTATTAAGATTTCTTCTCTTATTTTCTTTTTTTTTTAACAACCTTTTGAAACCTACTCACATTCACTTATTCACTTTTAATTCACTTATTCTTTCTTAAAAATATTTTAATGTTTTTCTTACACTATTAATAATTCCATTCTAGGGTCGTGTTCTTCAAAATGTTGGGCGCCACTTCTTTCCTTGTTGATTCCTTGACTTAGTTACTGGTAAATAGATTGAAATCGTTAACTCTGCTACTAAATTGATGGATGAAAATCCTTTTGTTTTCCTTCCTCTTTATAATTTGATGAAATAATAAAAATGCCAACTGATAGCAACAATATTGGAAGACCGAATTAAAACAACTTATCTCTTTTGATGGTAGAGACAAACTAAAACTTTATTAAACATTGAAATATCTCCTAACGTTTCTAAAAAGAATTTACTTCCAACACACACACAAAAATATCCAAGCAAAGCCAATAGTAAGAATACAAATTTGCTTAAGCTAATTGCATGGCTCTGCCAAGAGCTGCCGTATTCATGTTGTCACAGCTGCAGTTGCGGCTGGAGAATTGCAAGCTATCGCTTGAAACTTAAAATTGCAAGTGTTTCAAATTCTTATACTGTTATTGTGATGTTTACATGGAACGTACGTCGGCGTGGGAGTCATGAGTTAACTTATATATCTCGATTCCTAGACGTGACCAAGCGAAACGCCGGGACACGTATATCTTGGTTTTGACCGATATAACATTTCCCGTTGGTTTCATCCCATCCCGATTTTGACTGTCGCATAGTGTAATCTATTAATTTCTATATTGAATAAAGCGAACAAGTCTGCGAAAACCAGCAAAAAAACTCTTTAAAAGGAAACCAAATAAGTCTAAAAAACCCAAACAAAAACCGAAGTAAAATTCGAAAACAGAAGCAAAAAAAAATTAATAAAACCGCAAAAAAATCTAAAAGACGAACGAAATTGAAAACCCACAAAACAAGCACTCTAAAATAAATTTGAAGTCTAAGGACTAGTTATGGCTCACTTGAGCCCACTTGGAGTCCGGTTGGTATCCCAATGCCTATACCTTAATTTTTTGCTGGGTAGTAAGCCCTATACTGGCACAACAAAATGGCCCTATCACGCGAGACAAAAATAGAGCCTAACCACAAAAAAAAAACGAAACAAAATAACATGTACTACCAAATAAGACGACACAACCAATTACAATGTTTGCTTATAAATCTACTTAAAACATATATCTTACGCACCAATTAAACAATACGAACGAAATACGGCAAATGAAAGCCAATGAAATGCTCCAGAAACCCTAAGTACATCACTTTTCGATAGGCCTGATAGTTTCTGAGAAATTAAATAATAACTGCAGATTTTATGTTTTTTTGATGATACAAATAAACAAATTCAAACTTTCAGAGGGGAGAAATAAAAACCAACGACTTTTTTTTAATTTTTTTTTGTAAATTAATTTCTGAGAAACTATCTGGCCTAACGAAGAGTGATGTATATACAGCTTATGGAAATTGCATTGGCTTTCATTTGCCGTATTTCATATTACATTTGTTCAATTGTTTCGTAAGATATATGTGATTAATTGGAATCACTCTTTTTTAAGCTGAATAACGGTAAATTTCAAATATCTCGGAACGTATCCATACAAAAAGTCAACTAGAGTTTTGGAATCACCGAGAAATTCTACATAGGTATTGGATAGTGGCATCCATTGAAAATTTTTGTTGTAAGCCAGTGTAATTTGTTACTCATTACTTCTGTTCAACGTTATTTTATACCATTTAAAATAAAAAAAAAATGGAATAAAACCTTCATAATGAAGGCTTATGCCTTGGTTAAACCTGAAAACTTCATATATATGGGGTTTTGGACTCGCTGAACCCGAATCCGAGGTCCTGTTGTCACTAAATCCGAATATGGGGGTCCCTTGATTCTTAATGGTCATACAGAGGTCATCCCAAGGTCAAATTCAGAAGGATTGATTCCTTCAAATGGCCTCGAACCTGACGTGATGGAGGATAACATACCTCGGATTCGCATTCAGGGCGTCGAATAACATAGGGATATAGAGGTTTGGTTCAATATGCAGAAACTTTTTTTTGTAAACCTGTGTAATTCAGTGACAGTTTTCCGTTACTTCCATTACGACCCGGTTCTAAATTTTTTCACATAATTTCACAAAGATTTAAGATCACAACTAACTTTGTGCTTCAATTTATTTGCAACTTAAACTGTTTTTAATGTTATTCTAAGACCGTTTATCACAAGCACACTTATAAGACGTTATGAACCAAATTCTCGTATGTGCCAAACAAGATGTTTTTTCGGAAAATGTAAACTTTCCTAAAAACTTTCGAGTTTACTTATATTTGTTAATTTTCTAAGTATTGGTAAAATTTGGTTTTTGGCACATACGATAATTACGCGCAAACGGGGCGACATGTACAGGACGTTACAAATTATGTTTTAATTGGTTTTCATTAAACATTTTTTGGCAACCGGATGGAAGCGTCAAAATTCAACATGTTTTTATGTTAAGATTTTTTTTAAATGGCCAATGTAATATGTTTTTATAAATGTGTACCTATTTAGATACATATTTGTTATGTATTTACATACAAATATTTATAGTTGCAAAAATCCAAAATTTTTATATAAACTTTTAATAATGGTTCATTTTCTCTCTTCTTGTTCTCTGCTCTTTCATTATTTTGTATTTTAAATATATTCCATCTCTTCTCTATTCACTATCCTTCCACGAACTCTTCTCCATTTTCTCGAAAACCTGACATTTATTTTGAAAACCTTGTTTTCTTCTTTCTTTTTTTAAATTCCTTTTCCTCCCTTTCATTTTGCTTTATTTCATTTCTTTGTTTGATATTTATTTAGAGCTTCTTTGAGCAGTGCAAGTACCCTGGCATTAAGTGCTATTCGTCAGCCCATGCAGATTCCAGAAATACCGCCATTCCGGAAAAAATCAAGCGATTCCGCTGAGCATACTGGTAGCAGTGCTAGCAGTAGTCCGCAATGCTCCAGGCAGCCGCTTATTTCAACACCTCCACCCATTTTACAGCATCAACCTACAAAAATACCGGAAATACCACCTTATAAGCAACGCAAAATCTCGGCTGAAAGCGCCACACATTTACATATGAGCGTAAGATTTCACAGGTTTTTTACATGCATATGAACATATGTACATATCCATGTACATATGTAAGTACCTAGCAAAGCACGCATGTACATAAATTCATATTAGGGGTCTTCATCTAAAGTGATAAAGGGATAAATAGCTTAAATTTATCAGATTATCCGCATTCTTTCATGAACCCACCTTGGTATATAATAGCATAAAATTGTTTATTATTTAACTTATATGGCTACACTGAAAATAAAATTTCGTAAAAGTGCTACGAAAATTTTTCGTAGTGTTGGTTTTTGTAAAATGTACGAAACTTTCGTTCGTAACACGAACACATTTTTCACAACGAAACAATATTTTACGAACCATACGTAAATATAACGAAAGGACTTTCGTAAGGCATTTTTTCAGTACAAGTTACGAAATCTTACGTTTATTTTACGAAACACATTCGTAAAGCACTGAACAAATCTCTGTACGAATAATTTTGTATATTGTAGGAAGGCATTCGTAATATTTACGTATGGTTTTAAATTTACGAAATCTACAATTCTGTATTCGTACAATTTAGTTAATACTTTCATATAAAGTACTAATGCAGAAACATATTTTTTAAATTCGTACAACATACGAATATTTTCGTACAATATACTCAATTACCGGCAGTTTAATATTTCATCATATTTTTATATATCGCGTGTCATTGCGGAATTACTTGTTGGCTGCTGTGAGACGTATAATATAATTTTAAACGTTTTAAAAGGGGATTTGCTGGATAAAAAAACAATACAAAATTAAATATTAAAGCTGTGGATATACTATGCTTTTAAGCATACAAAGTTTTTAACATCGCCTACGCTGCACCTTGCGCTGCAATGTGGGACTGGATAAATAGGCAATTTCATCAGTTACCTATCAACGGCAAGCCTAAACCAGGAGCACTACTTAATTCAATTAAAAGTAAGTACATGTTCGACTTTTCACTGAAACTTGCTTTTCAGACGCCTTATAATTTTCCTTTAATTTATAGTCGTCAAGGAAACAAACATCGAAGAAGCTACGAATCTGTCAAGTGCCTCTACATAAAAATATTGTAATGTTTAAGAAAGTAAAACCAGTATTTTTTATATTCTTTCAAATTTTATATCTTATTATATTTAGTTTTGCTGAGTCTTATAGTTCAACACTTTGCATCAATATACTTTATTGAATGAAGCCTAAGCAATAAAAAATATGTAGTATAGGACCTATTCGAATGCATATAAATAAAAGACTTAAGTTTATTATAGGTAAAATAACCTTTTTTATTAATGCTAAACTACAGTGTAGTCAGAAAATTCTTCTTCATTCGTAGAACGTATTATTATTAACACTATATGCTTTGATTATTAACACTATAAAAAACATGACTAAAATTATAGCACAAAACTTTCATTATATTTTAATCAATAATGTTAAGCGTTTTTGCAAAACGTTTTGTTAAACAAAAACGCCTAAAATTAACGATAAAAACAAAATAAAAGTGTTGTGTTATAATTCGTAATATGTTTTTACAGTGTGGAGAATGAAAGCAAAATCGCACATTCTACGAAACAAGCGCAGATTTTACGAAAGTAATTTCATTAAATATACGAATTATTTTTGTGCATTTTACAAAAATTTCGTAAAAAAATAAAGAAATATTACGAATTTTTTTAGTAAATAGTACGAAATTCTTTAGAATAAAGAACTAAATTCTTTAGTAAATAGTACGAATACATTCGAAAAATGTACTCAAAATCTGATGCCTCATATACGAAAACGGTTTTGTACAATCAACGAAAACATTCGTGGCTCAAAATGACGAAAAATTTCGTAGGCAAGTTCTCGTTATATTTACGCAGATTTTATTTTCAGTGTAAGGTCTGTTAAGAGTACAGTACAGTAAGGCACGACATTGTGACCAGTTTCGGCTATTTTTTTTGTTTGTTTAGGGCCGGTTGTTCAATGTCTGATTAGCACTAATCGGAGGTAGAAGCTCTGGTTAAATACAACGACTGCTTTATCGATCACATGTTATATGTATGATGACGAAAACGTCGATAATGATGTTTAACCGGCAAGCATTGATAACCAGACTTTGAATAACCGGCCCTTAATGTTTATTTATTTTTTTAATACAACTCACTATCTAACGAAAACCAAATTTCAAACTTTGTAAAAAAAATTGAAAAATTCAACAAAATTTTAAAACAAAACCAAACTTTTTAAATAAAAACTTTTAGAGAAAAGTTATGTATGCAGTTTTAGAGCCCACTGAATTCTAGCTCAAGAAAGTGCAAGTTTTAAGTGGCAAAGAAATCGCTTTGATTTTTGATAATTTTTGGTGTCACGCATTTTCTTCCATTCAAAGTATGTTTAACAATTTTTTTTTTTATGGAAGCAAAGAGTAACACCATCCGCCAAAAAAAATTATCAACAATCAACGCAAATTTTTAGCCCCTTCAAACTTGCAATTTCTTAAGGTAGAATTTAATGGGCTATAAAACTGCACACCTAGATTTTTTCTAAAAGTTCTTATTAAAAAGGTTTGTGTTGTTTTAAAATTTTGTTGAATTTTTCTACTTTTTTACAAAGTTTAAAACTTGGACTTATGTGGTTTTTGTTAGGTAGTGAGTTGTATCTTTATAAAAAAAAATAAACATCTTGTCCCTATTATTTTACACATGACTGTATGTGTGCGTGTCCAACCCCGCCCACTTTTACATATTACAGTTTTTACTCTTAACAGACCTTAGGGTAAAAATTTTATCTCGATATGTCCATTAACAGGTCTACTCTGCGCTGGTAATAAAAAGTTTGTAACCGGTAAATAAAGTTCCTGTAAATTTTTAAACCCTTTTCGCATTCTGTGTACTCATGTAAGTTTTGTTACCATCTCATAAGCTGGTAACAAAGTATTGCCCCGTGAAATATGCAATGCCAGAATTTGCACAATTCTTCATAGCTGAATTGCTGAATATTTTAACTGCATTACCAACGTACCTAGAATCGCGGTGCCAAGAACTGGTAACATTTTTTGGTAATAAAATTTGCCGGTTACAAAATCTTCGGTAACGAGCAGAAAGACCTGTAAAAGTATTTTTGGCCGCTCTCCCCATATAAATACAACCACTGTGCACTGCATTGCTAGAGGTCCAGTTGAAAATATTGATAACAATATTAGAAAGGCCATTTTTGTAAATTCCGCTACAATAAGTTTGTTTGTGTGAATTAAAGCGAAGGTAAGCCTGATATACGGTTCAATATGAGCGTGAGCTTTTTATTTTGACCAATATCTATCTATCTATTATATACGCCGNTACGCCATGATTCAATAATACAAGGTTCGATAAACTGACAGTTGTCTCTCTCGCACCGCTCCCTTAGCAGTGGCACCGTGTTGCTTCTTTGCACATTTACATGGAAACAGTGTAGCTTTGGTGTGAAATAGAAGTATGGGCGTTTGTGCAATATGTTTATTTTAGGAAAAAAAAATATTTATTACAAAAGCAATTTCACCACTAATTGCCTACTTTGCGTACTTTTGCAGGAAATCTGGCATTTTAAACGAAATGTTGAACGTAATATTGATGTATCTATGTGAATTACGTAATTTATGTGCTATTTAGCTGTATAAAAACTGCAAAATGACTCAAACTTAAAATAAGACTACCATGAGATTGATGTAAACATCCAGGACGGCGCAATCTTGTATTCTATCATTCTTGGTTCATATGCATATATAAATAAACATATAGCACAAACCCTCATACTTCTATTTCACACCAAAGCTACACTGTTTCCATGTAAATGTGCAAAGAAGCAACACGGTGCCACTGCTAAGGGAGCGGTGCGAGAGAGACAACTGTCAGTTTATCGAACCTTGTATTATTGAATCATGGCGTAGCCCATGAACCAAAAATACGAGATCACGCTTTCTTCTTAGTGGCCCGTTATAATCGCATTTACTGCCATACCTAAACAAAAGCGTTGGGCGGAACGGTTTCTGACGCCTAGCGTTAGCGCCGAAGTGCCATACCTAAACAAAAGCGTCAACGCTACGTCAAATGCAGAAATAACACCAACAATAAGCATAGGTTTGTTTGTGTGTAACACAAAAATTACAGCTTCGCCGTTTTCTGCAGCCAACTTTAATACCTAACGCCCTGTCAAAATCGGAATTTCCAACCGCTCAGCGTTGACGCCGCGTTGTTTCGGTATGCTTCATACAAATTGTATGGGCATGAGAATTTTTTGACAGCCAGACAACGCTGACGCTTTTGTTTAGGTATGGCAGTTAGGAAAAAAATTTGGGCGACTGACATTAGCCGTTTATTTACATTTGTTCGTTGCTTACAATTTGGTGGTGGCTTTTTACTGCAATTTTCGCTTGTGACAACGTGTGCGCACATAAGGTAAATAATAATTTAACACACCGACATGATTTATAAAAGAATTTGCATAATATAAATGATTATTCATGCCTTCAACAGTTACGCGTTTTTTTTTGTTCTCTTCGTTGTTTACTTCTTACAACAAAGATGGCGTCGAGATTTCGACAGCTAGAAAATAATTTTTTTCTTTCTTTCCTTAAGGCGTGATCTTGTGTCTTTCGTTCATGGCGTAGCCGGTGTTGGTCCGACCAGGTTTTTTTAATACTGTATAGCACGGAGTAAATCATGATGTATACCAAATTAAAGCTTATTTTATAAACTTTTGAATTATAAATTTTTTATATATATTTAATTAGGCTATTTTTAAAAAATCATGTGTTTGTTTAAATTTTTTTAACTTTTTTTAGATAAATTGACTTATTGTTCGAAATTTATAAGATGTATTTAACACTTGAGAATCATATCAAAGCCATTCATATATCCTATTGAATGACATACAAAATTCTGAAATCCGTATTTCGTTTTCTAGATAGTTGGATTTAAAAAAAAATATGAATTTGACCTTGGACCCCTGTAGTTTTCGTGAAACTTCTATCGACG